GGGGGGGGGGGGGAAGGGAGGTCTTGGCTTTCCATTTATTTTGTCCAAGATTGTAACCTGTGTACAGACGTCCCACTCCCTCAGAAAAAAATCGGGAGAAGAGACTCTCTTCTCCCGATTTTTATTTTCTCTGAGGGAGGGAGGACGTCTGTACACAGGCTAAGGTTTACCTCTCGCTGTATAAAGGTTAACCGTTTACATAAAAACCCATAAAACGGCCATAAATCGGCCTGTAGACCACACAGGAGAGACGTAACACACATTTTAAGTCAGGTAAGCTGTTTTTTTTTATTGAAATCCTTTCATTTTCGTAGGTTACAGAAACGATAGGGTTTTTTTCCCATACAAATCTCTCTAAAACTGTGAAAGGTTTGAACCCAGGAGTCATTTCAAAAGTAGGAGTTTGATCGTCTGGGTGAACGTAGTCCTGAATAGGACTGTTGTTGTTGACAGTGACTGACATTTCGACTGATGTTGCATGTTTCATATTTCGAGCTTGGGCTACCTGTGTTTTTACACGATCCGAACTCTCTCGAACTGTTCCCCGAGATCCCCTTACACAGACAACTCCTCCTATTCTGATTGGTCGTTTACACTCTTATGATTTCCGATCTAATTGCATTGTCAATCACGATTTGACCTTAAGTTCTCGATTACACGTCATTCAACACTTCGAAACGATATACACTAAATAAATTGATATTATCATAAACCGACACGATTTCGACAACCAAATAACAGCAAGAGCAAATACCCACAGCATAACCAAAGCTCTTTTGCTTTTGCTGTGAAGTGTTTGGTTTTAGCGTGAGGTATTTGTTTTTGCCGTGAGGTTTTTGGTTTTGCCGTGCATGATGTTTTTGTTTTTGCCGTGAGGTTTTTGGTTTTGCTGTGACAGTTGTGGGCCACCACATAAAATAGGCCCTTTGCAGCTAGCCATTCGCGTGGTACAAAACAGCCACGCTGGAGAGCAAAAGTCGCAATGTGACAAGACATATGCCTTTTGTTTGTCTTTTCCCTGTGCGACTTTTGCTCTCCAGCAGTTTTGTACCCACGTGAGTGTCTAGCAGCAAAGGGCCTATTGGGTGTGTACGGGCGGATACGGTTGGTAAACAAGTGATGTCACAGATATGCGCAGATGCGCAAAATTGCGCAGTACGTTATTCAGCCGACGAGGGAGTTGTTCGTCCTCACGGAAGTATCCTGTGATATTATTTATTTGTTCACAACTGCAGCACTTCCTACCTAACAAAATGTTCAGAACCAACGGAATTTTACTTGTCACTACATTTTTGTGTTTTTCTGGTGTTATTTCGGCCACTTGCCGTTCGAACTACTCGGACTTGGAAGACACACTTCAGTCACCTCGTGACAGTACGGGAAATTACCCTGCGAACCAGAGTTGCACCTATGATGTTCGTGTTCCTGCTGGAAAAAGAATAATTCTTGCCTTCAAAAGTTTTGATATTTTGGGGAGTATGCCACATTGTCCTCAGGATTCTCTGGAAATAATTGTCGGGTGAGTATAAGATCCAGATTCCAATATTGTCTTGTAAACATGTCTAGACTAGCTTTGCACGCACGCGGTATTACATGTATGTTATCTCAAAGCGGAATATACCGTATAAGCTTAAAAGCAATAATAGCTTCTATCAGTGACTAGATTCAGGAATTTGAAACAAAAGCAATTAGTTTAAGTATGTCCCTTGCGAATTTTCAAATGTCGTGATTCCTTCTTCAAGTTATTTGAGCTTGTACCTTAATATTTCCCAGTGACAGGCTAGACGCAGATAAGTTTTTATTCTGTCACTTTGATTAAAAATGTGTTTGGCGTTGTTTAACTTTCACACGTTATTCCCAAGATAACTAAGTGATGGTCTATTCTTTTCTCAAACTTCTCAAACATGAAAGGAAGGTTGTTAATATCAATGATGTCGATTATCAGGATTTTTTTATGATAATCAACCATGCGCTATTAATGATTAATGTTTTATTATAATAATTAGCAATTATTGAATGAGGCTGAGTAGGATATAAAGAATTCTGCAGATCGAGGAAGGTGGATAACACCCTCCTCAATCTGCAGAATTCTTCATATCCTATGAAAACCGAATTCAATAATACGTACCGGTAATTGTTTTTTACTCATTCAAAATCTTTCCAAGTTTAAAAACAGGCTAAAACATGCTACAGTACTTACTGCTGCAAAATAAGTTGACACTCGATGTTCGAAACTCGAGACTCGATCCTCGCATCTCGAAGCTCGAACGCTTCGAGTTTCGAGGATCGAGGATCCAAGAAGCTAGGTTTTCCAAAAGAACGATGTTGTACAGTCACGTAGCCGTTCAGATATTTGCACCGTCAATCAGTGCTTGCGGTGCGGTGTTCTGTAACTGTTTGAATCGTTGGGGTTCGCCAAACTTTCAATAAGTGTAAATTTTCGAAATTTTTATCCTGCATGTACAGTGTATGTAGCCTTTGCTTGCCACGTTCCGAGATTTTCATGTTCACTCGGCAATTCATTCTGTGAATTAAGCTTGTCGCGGTTTTATGCAAATCTTGATGAAGATTATGACATTTGAGTTGTTAAATTTGCTTGTTTGTCAAGCTTCCACTTCTTTCACATAAAGGCGGCTTAGGACATATAGCGTTTCACTCGATAATTTTATTTGTAAACTCGGCGATTCCGTGGCTTGTCGCATGTTTGGCACATGTAAATAATGTTGATAAAGTCATGAGAAACTACGTTTGTTCTAGAAAGCGAAATTTTCATGTGGGTGTTTCAGTCGATACCGTGGCTTGTCACGCTGTTACTGTATGTAAATGTGCAAATCTACACATAGTCACACAATAATTTCACGGAAAACTTTATTTGTAGCGAAGAGCGACTTTTTCATGAGCATTTGAGTTATTGAATTTTCAATTAGTCATTACCGAGACCTTGATTACCTGCATTCAAGCCCCACTTTACAAATACCCGCTTAATACGGACACCTCATTATTGTGAACAGTTTGCTTTGTCCCTGAGGAAAGAAAACCATTACATTTTCTCTAAATTCAACCCACTTAATATGGACACCCCATTATGGACACTTTTTAAGGTCCCCTCAGTGTCCTCATTAATGGGGTTTGGCTGTATTTAGGATATCACAAAAACCGAATCTAATAATTGTTTTATTATACAAAAACACACCATTGCAAGGAAACTGAATTGATATTGTTATCGGAAATCATGCATTACATGTGTAACCAATAGATAAGTCAGTTATCTGC